TCTCAGAGCTGACGTCAAGGGTGCCGTCTACACTGGCACTTCGCCCTATCTCGAGTTTGAAAAGTTTTTCCCTTCGGTCTCTGACAGTCTCCCTGCTCAGTTACGCGCCGAGGTCACGAGCAACATGCGCACCTGTCTGCAGGGATCCCGGATCTCCCAGCTCAACATCGATTCTTTCCAGGCTCTTGCCCTGTTTACGCAAACCGTGGTCCGCGCCAGGCAGGCATCCAACAAGGATTCTTCCTTTGCCCTCGACTTCCAAGGCTTCGCCGAGGACTGCCTGCGAGTAGAATACCAAGTCGCCCGGTACCCGAGATCTTTACGTGACGATATCGCCCAGGCCGACCAAGCTTTTGCAGCTTTGGGAGTCTCAGAGCTGAACCTGGACATGATCACTAGAGGCCGAGCGCACAGCCCGAGTCCCTTAACGCCGGAGACCACCGACCCTGAGAGGAATCTCTTGAACGCCGTTCTTCGATCGGCCGCGCTGCTCTACATCGAGGATCTCCTTCCCGACAAACACTCCGTCGACCTTTACACAATCCTCTTGCAAGCCCTCAATCATCAGCTAGGCAACATCGTCCTCGCAATGGGTCACCGCCTTACTTCTCCCGAGTCGACCCTAGCTGTAAATAGGGTCCTACCCAGCCTTGAGGCCATGCGCCCCGTGTTATTGTGGTCATGTATGGTGGGGTACGCCCTAACCCAGTTTCTTAACCAAACACGATCGGCATCCCTGGATCGCTCACCATTTGAGCACTGCGTCGGCCTTCTGCTTCTAGGGCCAGGCGCACCCAAGGGAGGTTTATCAGAAAAAGACATGAAGCTCGGCGAGATTCTCCCTGTGCGAGCAATTCGATCAGTCAGCTCTGATGAGGGTACTTTGCTCCGACAAATGGTGGCAGGGTATGAAGCGAAGCAGCTCAGGGGCAAGCAACCCTGAAACTGAAACTTGGCCAGACCTCATTCTACGTTGTCTCAGGACCTGACGGTTCGAGCTTCCTTATGTTCTTATTTACGACTTTTGATTTTATTTTAGCATGCATTGCTTTTCACTTCCATTATTTTCCGGCGCAAGCACGCTTTTGAAGAACGGATGCTCTTTTGCGATACAACAAGGATTGGGATTGGGACTGGGACTGGGATTGGAATTGGGCATTCCAGGGATTTACACGTCGGTTCATCATCGCACCAGGTTTGGGATTTGGGTCTATTTTCTTTATTCTCTCGGCCGTCTTTCATCAGGAACGAATACCCCATTTTCTTTCATCGACAACTACTCGGGACACGGAGTAGTCTTGTTATCTCTCATTTTTATGATTATCGTCTTCTTCATTTGGTTCAGGCTCAGGAAGGCCCGGAAAGGATTTTTGGATACATCATGACGGGGTGTTTGTGTACTACAACATGGCTCAGATTTGTTTACACCAGGGGATTTGTTTATACGGCATAGGATGATGGCATTAGCGAAGACGGGGAGCTGGCAGGGCCAGGCCTACGCGGATGGCATGCCAGACATGGCATAAATATCAATTATACATGTGTCAATCAACGACACACTGCACATTGCACACTACCTCACTTGACGATGGCAATATTTCCCCGGTGATTGGGCTAGTGGTTTAGGACAAGAACATGCTCAGCTTGACGCATTTTAGGTTCGATCAGACGGTTCCCTCGGCTCGGATAACCACCAATCCAATAGAGGCACACGCGACAGCTTTCCTCGCCGTCGGTGCTCGGATTGAATGACTCTTCGTTAGGCTGCTTCTCTTGCTGGGATAGGCGCGCACGCCCGACAGATTGCGCCTTACTGTCCAGTCTAGCCATTGACGGGCCTCAGAGCCCTGTCGACATGGATCAGTGGGCCACAAGGCGAGCGGTAGTTTACGCCAGTAGTAATTACCACCGCTGGCAATTTGCCATATATTAGTAACATGGCTTGAGCTACTGGCCTCGTCAAGGAAGGCTCCGGGTCGAAATGAACACGAAGAGAAAGAATTGAAGAGTCTGTGGATTCGCGCTATACACGTACGGAGGATTTTCATAAAATTTGCTCCTCCCCACCGCAAGACCCTGGCAAAGAAGGCTAACGAATGGCTCTGGCTAGCGGACTTTCATCATCGCATCATTCATTGTGCCCAGGAGCATCTCCCAGCGTCGCATCTGACCAGCTACGTTGTGCGTGATCAGATCGCCATGACAGCTTCAGCGAGCGCAGGCGAGGCAAACCATGGCCCTCATCACCATCCGTACTTCCCTCCGGCCGTCGTGATCCCTCACTACATCCCCAGCACGACGCCGCTGCTCGAGATCCTTGCCCCCTTTGCTGCCCTCGCAGCCCTCGCCATCATCCCAGCCGTAGTGTTTGCCAGGCGACACACGAGCCGCGCAATCGACCAGTTTGCGGCTGGCTGGTTCGCTCTCTGTAAGATCAGATCAGGCCTCTTCTTATCTTGTTCACACGCCCCCCTCGTGGCCTAAACCCCTTCCCATACCCTCTAGCCGATCGGCTATCCTGGCCCACACATGCTTATTTTAATTATAGGTGCCTTTCTACACATCTGCTTCGAAGGTGAGCAACATACGAGAAGGCTGAGAAGAGGGTCATGCCCAAAGTTCCCGACCCGGCTCACTACGCGCCAGAGAGCTGACAAGGGAGATGAACAATAGGGTACTACATTGTCAATAGGACCAACATCGCCGGCCTCAACACACTGTTCGCCCAACTGTGGAAGGAGTACACGCTCTCTGACTCGCGTTACCTCACCCTCGATGTCTTCACTGTTTGCGTCGAGACCATCACGGTTGTAAGTCCCTCCGGTGATCATCCGCCCCCATCAAAGGGGACAGTTCCCTTCCCAACAAGTATCTAACTCTCGATAGCTCGTCTGGGGCCCCCTTTCCCTCCTGACCGTGCTGGCCATCGTGTCCCGCCGCCATGCCCTCCGCCACACTTGCCAGATCACCGTGTGCGTCGCGCACCTGTACGGCGTCGCGCTGTACTACCTGACCAACTGGGCCGAGGGCGTCTCCTACAGCCGCCCGGAGGTGCTATACTTTTGGGTCTACTATGTCGGGTTTAACGCACCCTGGGCCACCGTTCCGTTGTGTAAGTTTAAATCCCAACCCCCCCTTTCTTTTCTCTCCTATTCTGGTGCGACACATAAGAGGCCGCATGCATACAATGGATGGATTCCTATTGTCGGTTCTCGTGATTACTGGAGGCTAATATGGGTCGTGCAGGGCTGCTGTGGGATAGCTTCACGGAGATTAGCAGGGCGTTTGCCGTGCTGCATGAGGTTGGGGAGCGGGCGAAGAGGAGGTGATGCGGATGCTATGTGGTTGGGTTAACACCGGTCCGTCTGGGCGTCGCATTGTCTCTGTGCTGTGCTCGTCCGTGCTTTGTATTGTGTTGTGTTGTTGGTTGGGATGTCCAACGTGCCAACGACCGAGCGGCTAGCTTCGTTGGTTCTTGGAAACGATGCTTCAAGAGATGCATACCCCCCTCGCTTAGGGGTGCTCGCTGTCTGATGCAACTCGCTTTCTGATGCAAGTCACTGCATGTCGCTTGGGGAGGAGGCGGTGGGAAAGAAAAGACCCTGCTGGCTGCCCGATCCCGTTTTGCTTCCGGCCGGCAGGCGAGTAGAGGGATGGTTGGATGGCGGCGTTTGTGCATGTCTCGCGCATACTCGGAATTACTGTATGCGTCTACCGTTTTCCGCTGCCGTGATACCTATATTAACATGCGTTGGCCGATAATAACCAGTCCTCCGCCCATATCGACCGAGAGTGCAATCTCCTTTCCTGCTGTACCACGGACGCCGTAGCATCATCGTCTCACAAGTGAAAGCCGAGCCCTCTACCAAATTCCGCTCACCTTATCCGTATCGTTCCATCGTCGTACCGGGCCGCAAGCGGCCTCCCACCGTGCTTTCTTGCCATTGAGCACTTGCCAAGGCATGCTATTGTGCTGCGCATGCGTTGGTCATGCAGCTCAGACAGACATGATGGTCGACCGGTTGGGCTTCATCCCGCCACCTATACGCTTCTGTCTCGTACATGAACGGTGGTATCAAGGATAGTTGGTGTGATATGTGACCATGCCAGCTCCCCCTCCCCTCTCTTCCCTCCAGCCTCACTTTTGGAGGACCTTCGCTTAAAGAGAGACATCGATCATGCATGCTCCAGGGACCAATGGGATGTCCACACTCACGAGATATGGGTAAACTCAAGTCCCCTAGCCCGACGATCTCATGCCAACAAGCATGGCACACTCCCGCCGATGGGAAAAGGGTTTACCGCAACGTTGAACAAGTGTCGAAAAGGGTTTCCCATCCCGGTATCCGTGTGCATGTATGCCCAGTGCTGATTGCAACGGTCGTATTTGGATTTACACTGCTGCAGACCAAACCGGGTCTGACCCCCCCTCGTACGGCCAGCATGCACGTTCACGGCCAGTTTGACGAGTCAGATCTGCTCTCAACCCAATGTTGACGTCAATTTGTTATTCGTGATCTACATACTGAGGGCGTACACTGAAAGAGAAAAGATACCGGCTACATGCCTCTCGCCAAAAACCATCCTGTGCAACTGTCCAATTACAAATTCTGTACCAAGGAAAAATGATGAAAAAGGAGTAGGGAACTTTTGAGAAGAAGGGGGAAAACCAATGCCCTACAGTACCACCAGCTCCACGCTACTGGGTCGGAGTAGACCTCGTTCTTCCCAGACAGTGTAGACAACGGATGGGTTTGTCGGGCGACGTCTTCCACACATTCCGATCGTGGAAGAAGGGATGAGGAACAAGGTGAGGCAACAATAGAAAGTCAACCACAGGGAAAACAAAAGAGAAAAAGTACCTCGAACCAGAAACACCTCTATCCCATCCATGAGCATCCCGTGATGTGATGCCTTCCAAGACAAGATACACGCATTGGGGAAAAAAAAGAGAAGAAAATTAAGACACAAGTCTCAGGAGGCTATCCAGACTCCCCCCATTAATCCTCCCCGTCCCCAGACTGCAGGACAATCTCCACATCGAAGCACGGAAACCCGACCTGCGAGGGCGGGCCCATCCTCGCAAGCAGCGGTGAGAGGTCGTCGACCCGACTCGTCACCTCGTACACGACGTCGCCCGCCCGCACCCGCTTGAGCAGCGCCATCATCCTGTGGTGGTGCTGCTGCTGCTCGGCCGCGGGGGGGATGCCGCCAAACTCGCCGCTCTTGAGGCGAGCGAGCTGCATCGCCCTCTCGAGGATCCGGCCGTGCAGGGGCGCGCAGGTGTCCGTCACCAGGAGGCTCCCGCGGCCGATCCAGTGGATGTTGATGGACACGGGCCTGGGCGCGGGAAGGGGGGGCAGGGCTGCTGGTCTCCTAGGACCGGCGGCGGCGGCAGCAGGGGGGTTGCTTGCCCTCATCTGCGGTGGGACTGCAGCAGGAGGTGGGGGCATGCTGCTGCCCTTTGGCTGCTGGAAGGCGTTGATAGGGTGACCGCCCGCTCTCTGGGTAGGGGGAGAATAGGTCCCCAGCATGCTTGGGCTTACGGCTGCGGCCGGGTGGTTGGGCACGGCGGCGGGCTTGTGTCCCTGTGGAGGGAGAGGGGGGTGGACGGGGTGAGTATGATGGGGGAGGAGAACATGTTGGTGAGGGAATGGATGATGGGGACCTAGGATCGGGGGATGGGGAGAGTGGTAGGCGCCCGTCAAGGTCGCGGGCTGGCCGTAGTAGAAGTGAGGGTGGACGGCCATGGGAATGGTTCCATCGCCAGCTGGTGCAGTCGCAGTTTGCTCACCAGCTGCGGGTGGCGGCATGCGAGGGGACGTGGACTGGCGGGGGGGGAGTGTCCTCGGCTTGACCATGTTGTTCTTGGTCTCACGGCGTCGGTGGTGCGACGGCTTCTTGATATGCTCCAGGCCCTCTTCGTCCTCACTCTCGTCGGACAGGTCAAGGCCCAGCTCGACGTCGTCCTCGGATTCCGAGCTCGAGTCAGTGTAGTTATCGTCGAGATCGTTGCCGTCCTCCACTTCTGTGACAACATCATTGCCCTGGCAGCAGCAGTCACACTTCGTCTGTCTCTTCTGCGCCTGCAGCGGTGGCATGATGGGGCTGTCGTAGGTCTTGCCCATGGCGACGTAGAAGTGAGCCACCTCAAGGGCAGACCGCTGGTGGACCGTAGCCATAGCGACGGCGAGGTCGAGGCTCTTTTCCCTCGTCACGACGGTGCGGGCGGGCGAGTTGGCTGTAGAGGAGAGGACAACGACAGTCCAGAACGGGGTGTCGAGCTGCGTGAGCACTGTGACATCCTGACCAAGGACGATTTCGTAATTGCCTATTGGCAGCCACAGCAACGGTCAGTTTGATGCAAACTATAAACACGATGGGGAGCGTGGGGGAGGGCTGTCATACTCTTAATCAGAGGTTCATGGACAACTGTAGAAAGGTAGGGGGCAGGTTCCGCCATATCGATCTCGTTTGCAGGAGTGTCCTTAAGGGAGATGCCGTTCACGCGGGTCAAGGTCATGAGATCAAGAAAGGGGGTATCCTCTTAGCTCTTTCGAATCTTGCAGAGAGTGACGATGTACAAGGATAGGCAATGGGGCTATGGTGATAATGGTTTGTCTGTTTCCTTCGAAGGGGTGGATGGCAAAGGGGCATGAAGGAATGTCTAGTGAGCTGTGGGAGGAAGCCATGTGCAAACAACGGGAGTCCAATCATTCTTATAGAGGCAAACCCTCTCGAGTCCGTCTCGATGAAGAAATCCCGACATTTGCTTTGTGTTCCATGCACACTGTCGATCTTCCAAAAGCGCCGCCAGCTAAGACACTCAGATGTCACAACATCTCCGAATAAGGGGGTGGGTGTATTGCTGCCAAGTAAGCCGAAACAGCGGCCTGACGATGGAGTGACAGTTAACAAGGCGGCAGAGACCCAGCCATGGGATTGTGCTTGTCTGCCCATCGTGACACCCAAAAGCGACTAGACGTTGCACCCGGCTCTGGAGCCGGCAATGGAGTAAGGATGCCATCTCCGTAGCCCAACGATGGGCAGAGTCCAGTGTTCATGAGGCAACATGCAGAGCTAGCCCGATGTCATGCGTAGAAGGTCTGTCAAGCATCCCGGCGGGACAACAAACCACCATGTCCACGTCCGGGGTGTTCGGGTAGATGCTCATATGCGGCGTACAAGTGATCAATTGGATTAGGATGATTGGCCGGAAAGGGCCTGACCCTGTTCCCATCTAAGCCGGATCTCCAGCTGTCTGGCAGCAAGAGTAGGGCGAAGAAGGCCAGCAGTTCCATATAGCACGATTTGGCAGATCCTCCTAGGCCCACGGCCAGATCCATCGTGGGCCCCTGATGGCTGGCTGTCTCATAAGATCTTAAGCCATCAGGTATGCAGCCCATCCGGCCTCTTGTTCCCCATCCATCGTGCCACGAAGTTACTTGCTTGGCCCATTGAGGCCGTTCACACCGCCAGTATCCAGCCACGAGGCTCGTATCAAGTCTCGAAAATATCGAGTGTCGTGATGCTCAGCGCAACCATTAGAGCCAATCGGCTGTCTTGTTCAGCCTGCCAATAAGGTGATCGTCCAGTCGTCCGCCTCACTTTATGGATCGGCATAGCGCCAGAGAGAAGCGCCCGGATTTGGCCTTATATAACACCTCTGCTATAGCCTATGATGTGAGTAAGATGCGCCACATTCGCCACATCGTTGGGTTGGCATGTAGAAAAAAGAAAGGACAAAGGATGGATGTGGTGTTCCCTGTGCGGCAAAGTGTGGTGAGATTTAACCGCGCAACAGCCAAAAGAAGCTCGTGATGATAAGCCAGATGTGCACACTTGGAGTTTTGGAAGGGATTCCCTGGTTAGACGGTTATTCGCCTTATTTTAGATTGTCCATGATATATCAAACATACTGGCAGACCTCGTGGTGCCCTGCCACCTTCCTGATCTCATATAAAATCCGCCATTACCTCGCATCGTCATATCCACCAAGGCGCTGATCTTTCTCCATAACCAGCTAAACTATTACATTGGCGCCCCCCATTATATCCTCCTTCAAAGCGTTTGTAGCCTCTCCAGTCTCGCCCTGACAGCCTCGACGAGGGCTGTCTCTCTTGACAAGAGACCCTGAACTTGCTGGAGCTTGGATCGACGTATGTCTTGCGGGATCCGGAGTTCTGTCGTGCCCAAGCTGCCCGAGTCCGTCACGCCTTCAGCCTTCTTGAGAGCCGCGACCTCGTCCAGCAACTCGTCCTGCAGGGTCTTGGCCTCTTCCAATCGCTTCCAGAGCGGCTTAGATGCGCCCGAGGCCCCGGTCTGGCTATTCCGATCACCGCTTTCGGAAGAGGTCCGCTCCGATAAGCTCTCCTCCATCGTTCTAACCTCGTTGAAGAACGCGCGCTCCTTGGCGCTAAGGTCCCTCGTCGTCGCCTTGCCGATGATCTTACGGAGCCCTTCCACACGCTTAGTGAGTCTGTCCTGTCGATCCTGCGCTTCGGCAATCCTTCGCTCATATGCTGCATTATCACCCTCGCCATCGTCGCGATTAGCTCCACTGATAGTCTCAATCTTGCTCCGCACTTGGTTCGCCTTATTCACCTGTTGGCGGAGCTCGGCTTGGAGGACCTCGCAGCGTCGGAACACCTCTGACGCGGCCACGCCCAGCCGGTAGGTCTCGTCGGCTAGGAGCTTATGCGCGTCTGTGAATATGCCAAGCGTCACGGGACTCAGCCTCACTTCTTGGTTGACGAGCGTCTTGTGACGCGACGTGCGCAGGCGGTCGAGCATCGTCGGTAGGTGCGATGGCTGGTCAAAGGCATGAGACGGCTGGAAAACGGGGCGAGGCTCGTAGAAGTCCAACGGCGCAGGGACAGCCTCGAGCTCGCGTACGGGGCTGCTCTCCAGCTTGACGAGCACGAGATCGGTTTCGGGGGAGTCGAACGTCAATGCAATTGGCTCGTAGGGGGTGGCAGAAAGGAGAAAGTAGCCGACATCAGGATCCTGCAGAACCACGGCTGCCGCAAGAGGAACAACCGCGTCCGAAGTGGGCTGCGAGAACAGTCGGTCTCGTGACGATTGTGAGTTGACCACCAAGCCAATTCTGAAGTCTGTACCCGCCTCCGAGTCTCCCGCGAGTTCCTTTTCGAGGCGGAATATCCAGGGCGCCAGGGAGAGGAAGACAATGCCCGCGTGATGTGTAACGTACAGGTTGTAGCGGGACATGACGTCTTGGCTGAAGACCGGCCAGCTTTCCTCGTTAACCTCGACCGGGCTCATAGTATCAATGGCCTGAAAAGCCAGGAGTTCTGATGACAGGCTTGAATCGGCCAGTAAGCGCCCCAGTCGCGACTTGCTCTTGGGGGGGAGCCATTGAGCTTGGACACCGTCCAGATCAAGGTACACTCGAACCTGGCCACTAGCAGACAAGAGGCTGATCACGGTGAGCGAGGCACCTTCTCGGTCTCGCTCTTCCAATTCCAATTCCTCCTCTTCCCCAAGCATCAATTCGTCGGTTTCCGTCTTCTTTCCAATGACCACAATATCTGTGATTGCTGTATCCAAATCGTCGCCCGTCTCTGGGTCCGCGTTTAGGTCGAAAGGCCCTTGTAGTCTGGGAATGGTACCAGGTCGTGAGGGTCGGTTGTAGACTTCGATCATCGGTTCGCCGGGCGGCCCTTCCAAAACAGTAGGTTCCTGGGCGTCAAGTTCACCCATCCACTCGAGCTGCTGTTGTGCTAGGAGTTTCTCGTAGTCGGAAACCTCGGGGTCATCTTCGATACTGGCCACCGTTGTGACGATAGAAACCGACAATGAAGGAATCAGCGTCGGCGGAGGCGCCCACTTCTGGGGCAAAAGAGGGCACAGAGCGTAGACATCGCCTTCTCGCATCGCTATCCAGAGTGTCATGGGGTCCCAGCCTCCCGATCCCTTAGTCGCGAAGCTTGCGGCCGCCACTTCCATGTCGAAGGAGTCGGGCGAGAATCCCTTGTTCGTTGCCGTGACAGACGCTGAGAAATCCTGATCCAAGCTCGTTCCGTCCGCAAGCTTCTTCAAGTCGACGGAGGTCGTGGGGTTGTCGAAGGACCATCGGTTCGCGGCATCGATTTCCCAGACGCGGACAATCGCATCGGCGGTGACTGTGACGAGGCAGGTGCCGTTTACACCCAGAGGGTGCCATAGCGCGGACATGATGGGTGCTCGTGATGTTACGTGTGTGGTGGGCCCGAGGGTGAACATCTTGGGCTTCAGAGGCCCATTGTCCTCGCTGGTTAGATGTGACGAATCGGGGAGTACGCAGATGTGGACGGTGTATGCGGTGAGGATGGCGAGATAGTTGGAGTTTTGGGAGATGACGAGCTGTCGAATGTCTTCGGCACAACGCGTTTTGATGGTCTGCAAGTCCTGTTGTCAGCAGCTGGATCAAAAATACACAAATCAACGGATCAATAGACGGTAGAGCAGATGTGCTGGTTTCTGGCTCGCCCACTCACCCTCATGCCAGGTGCGTGCTCCAAATCCACGTCGGATTCAACGGACGCGAAAGAGTCCTCTATCTTGATCCTGGTTCCATAGCCACCGTTTCTCGAATGCCGGGCAGTCCACTGCTCTTTGATATAGGCGAGGTCACCCCAGCGGATCTCCTTGCCCACGGCGACAAAAACCTGTGTGCCCCAACGAGCGATTGTTCTCCTCGGGCCGGGCTGTTGCTGTGTCTTAGTGGAAAGAGCCTGGGGTCGGGCAAGGTCGGCGATGGGTTCGAAGAGCTGATGGCCTGGGGCGTTCTTGGCCAGCCAGGGGGCCGAATAGCTCTTGACCTTGGGCATTGCGCGTATCGTTCGTTTGACGGTCGGGTCGAGGCTGAGAAAGGAAGCTTCGTGTGGTGACAAAGAGAGTGCGGCCGAGACAGGACAAGTCTGGCAGCTGACGGGATAATAGCTCCCCAGATACGGAGCTGCTGCCTAGACCTGGAAAGTGAGGCTGCAGAGAAGATGAAGCAGAAAGCAAAGCAGCCAAAGAAAAGATGGAATGGAGGAAAGCGACTGGTCAGTCGGCTGTTACATGCAACAAAAACAGAGAACAAGCTCGTCGGTTGGCGCAGGAAAAAAGTGTTGGCTGGGGCTAAAAGTACAGCGACTTTGGAGTTGTGGGTCTGTGCTGTCCAGGCACCTGGCGTCAGACAAAGGCCCAACAGGCGAATGGCAGTTTCTGAGCGCTATACCGATGAAAAGTTGAAGCGAGTTGGATTTGCAGCTAGAAATATACTCCTTGAATCAAAATAAGCTTTTGAGAGCAAGAAATATTCACCACAGGACACGGCAGCAGAGCACATGCAGCTTCGCCTTGGCTGCCACCGGAGCCACAATGGATGTACCGGTACCTTGCATGGCTGGTCGTCCCCTGCATGGGCCATTCCACTGGGCGGATCCACTCTTTCTCCAGCTCCAGTTGCTTGACTTCAATCTTTAACTTCAACTTCACTTTCAGCAATTGTCTTCACAGATCGTCGCAGCTACATAACGACACCCATCTACTGTCCTTGCGCCGGCTAGTCCACCCCTCTGTGCGCCTGCTGCCTTACGATAAGCTGTGGCCTGCGATTCACCACGTGGATTGTGCGTCATCTAGCGTCAGAAGCGCGACGACAGCCTCCAGCTTCACCTACACCAGAGAAGCTTTCGAATACCAGGCTGCTTCAGCACAACCGCCAGCATGCGGCCAAACGAACCATACAGCACAGTCGATCGCCTTGACCGGCCTAGCGCATACTACAACAAGGTGAGATCCTACCACACCCCTCCACCCCAAGCCTCGCACCTAACACAGCTCTCCCCAGAACAAACGCCGCCGCGACCACCGCGACGACGACGCCAATGGCGACGCCCCAGCCGAGCCGCCCGTCGACCCCCTCGCCAACGCCACGACCCTCTACGTGGGCAACCTATCGTTCTACACCACCGAGGAGCAGGTCTACGAGCTCTTCTCCAAGGTCGGCGAGATCAAGCGCCTCATCATGGGCCTCGACCGCTTCGCCAAGACGCCCTGCGGCTTCTGCTTCGTCGAGTACTACACCCACCAGGACGCCCTCGACTGCATGAAGTACATTGGCGGCACCAAGCTGGACGAGCGCATCATCCGGACCGACCTGGACCCCGGGTTCGAGGAGGGCAGGCAGTACGGCCGCGGCAAGTCGGGCGGCCAGGTGCGCGACGAGTACCGCGAGGACTTTGACGAGGGGCGTGGCGGCGTGGGCAGGGCGATCCAGACGGATGGGAGGGAGTACGATGATGAGCCCAGACGTTGAGATGTTTCTGTCGGGGGAGGAGGGGGGCTAATTGGAGAACGGACTACGAAGAGTACGACCCCAAAAGAAAGAGATCACCGGGTGTAATTCCTATATCAAAGGAGGCTCGTCATGTACGAAATAGAAAATACTGCGATAGATACCCGCGAGGAAAAGAATAGTGCGAGCGAGGTAGTTTCTGGGTCTTGACATTTAAAAAAAGAAGAATTGCTATTTTATCCAGCCCATCCATTATCTATGAGCCGTCGTTTCTGCCTCGGTGGAAGTGATACATATACAAATGTGCAGAATTCTATTCCTGCCTCTCTCATGCCACAGTCGATCCCCGCCAGCGCCGAGCGGGTTAGGTCAAACAATAAAGTGTTGTACATGGTAATTCGTCGCCCCAGTACGTGTAAAAACGCCTTCATCCCCATTGCATGCCCAGCTTCGTGGTCGGTCTCGTGTCGATCGGATTTATACAGCCCAACGCCCCAATTGCGCAGCTTAGAAACCAGGGGGGTTGACTCTTTGCGAAACTCTCGTCCACTTGGGAAGCTCTGCGTAGCCGGTCAGTAAAACCAATCGCCCAACATCACCATCCCGCTCTCCTCTCCGGGTAGAAACATACTGTGGATGCCCTTTCGATACCGCTTGGCCTTGCGGTCAAACAGGGTGTACTTGTCCTTGGGCAGCATCTCAGCCTCAGTAGGCATCTCGGCCTTCCACCGCTCCACGGCCGGCAGCACCTGGCCCTGCTTGGCGAGCGCGGCGTCAATGGTCGCAACGACGCCATCGACGGCCCTGAGGCGCTCCCGGTGCCGTCTCTTCTGGAACTTGGACAGCCGCCAGGGGATCTTCCACAGGAGACCGCCGGACAGCGGGTTTGTGATTCGGAATGGGCCAAACATCGTCTCTCTGTCTGACGTTGAGGGTCGGGAGGGGGGTTCGGTTTTGGAGACTTGGTGGGAGATGCTCCAAACTTTTTGGCATTGGCTGATGCGAAGCTTGGGGTGGAGCGGAATATCCCGAGCGCCGGTGCCTCGCACAAAGGAACCACACCAGAGTTACCCACACACACTGTGGGGTCAGCAGCTCCCATCAACTCGACGTTGGTCGCATATTCGAGAGTTAACCCCCCGGTCGGCGAGTAGGATTGTTCTTTGACAGCAGAGCAGCGCGTGACGACGACAGCGACGGCACCACCTCACCACCACAGCGAGGGGACACACGTACGAGAAGAGCCGCCGGGTCTGCCATTGCGCGCTAGGTCACGCCGTCAAATGCACATCCGCCGGGCGCCACCATGAGCTACTACTTCGCCATTGTCGGGTCGCAGGACAATCCGCTGTTCGAGCATGAGTTTGGCACATCGAAGCAGGGCGGCGACGGGCAGTCTCGCTTCACCGACCAGGTGAGGCACCTGAACCAGTTCATCCTGCACTCGAGCCTCGATATCGTCGAGGAGGTCCAATGGTCACATGGCCAAATGTAAGCTTCTCCTTCCAGTCTCCTACTCTACTACAGCCCATTAGGAAACAGGTATTAACCCGCCTGCGATCTAGGTATCTCAAGTGCATCGATAAATTCTTCGACAACTACATCTCATGCTTCGTCACAGCCGGCAACGTCAAGTTCCTCCTCCTCCACCACCCCATCACCCCCAGCGGCACCAACTCGCGATCATCGACGGCGATTGGCGCGAACCCCACGAGCCCTGCGACCGAAGAGGCAGTCAAGATGTTCTTCACGGAGGTGTACGAGAACTGGATCAAGGCCATCATGAGCCCGTTCTACCAGGCCAACATGGAGGTCACGAGCCCCATATTCAGGACGAGGGTGGCGGCGGCTGGGCGGAAATATCTCTAATTAGGCGGCGAGCGATACCATTTTTACATAGATCGATTCAATACCACCGGCGTTATTCTAGGTTCTCAAATACAGCACATTTCAAATTGGCAAACACAATGTCAAACTAGCAAGCAGAGGTACGATGGATAGTTGATGTTTCAAGAGCAAATAATCATTGATGGTATTGTAATTTAATTTCCGTTGGTCGTCTTCCCTGACGCCGACTAGCCCGTATCCCTTAACGCCTAATAAACCTCATCTGGCACACACATCGCGACTCATAACACACCAGCACCTCTCTAATGAGAATAGAAAAGCGCTTAACCACCGAAACCGTAGAGGGTGCGGCCCTGGCGCTTGAGAGCGTAGACGACGTCGAGGGAGGTGACGGTCTTGCGCTTGGCGTGCTCAGTGTAGGTGACGGCGTCACGGATGACACCCTCGAGGAAGGTCTTCAGGACACCACGGGTCTCCTCGTAGATCACTGTGAAGCAGACGCGTCAGCAAGCTGTTGATGGATTGATGACGATGAGGAGACAAAACTTACTGGCAGAGATACGCTTGACACCACCACGACGAGCGAGACGTCGGATAGCGGGCTTGGTGATACCCTGGATGTTGTCACGCAAAATCTTGCGGTGACGCTTCGCACCGCCCTTGCCGAGGCCCTTGCCGCCCTTGCCACCTGTTGAAGCCAGAGTCAGTACGTGATGCCATTCAGGATGGACCAGTTAACCCAGCTATGCGAGGCCGACGAGTCCAGTGTGGGGTGAGGGTGCGACTTACGTCCAGTCATGATGGATTAGTTGGAGAAGAGAAAACGGTGATGGAAGTTGTTTATGGATGAACGCGAGCGCGTTTCGTGATGATGCAATGTGATGTAGATGGGTTGTAGTGTGTACACAAGTGGGAGGGAGGAGTGGGAGATGCAAGGTTGCGGGGGGGTGGCGGAGAGAGTTTATTATACACGCAGTCAAATCAGTAGCAGCGGCGCGTGGGCAGTCAGATCACTCGCCCGCCAAAAATAAAAAATCCGTTTCAGCGCCGGGCTAAGCTCAAAAAGGCAGTGCTCACAATCACTGCTTGTAGCGGAAGCTCTCAGGTACTTGCGCGCTGATTCTGATTTTTCATTGGTCAGATTGCAGCGTTAGCTCGCTTTTTATTTTCCAGAGCGCGTGACTAAGCACTGCTTCCCCATGCTTGGTTACTGATCGCAGAGCTCTGTGGCACACGCGTCTCGCCCTGAGTTTCGTGGTCAGTGAAAGGCTGGTTCTTGATGAACGGAGTGCGTGGCCTGACCGTTTTGATCACCGTCTGGCGACTGCCTCGGGTACAAGGCTGCGGGAGGAGGTACATGCCTTTAGCGTGTCACAGGGTGTGTGGGCATCTAGAGTTGGGGAAGGACTTCTTGTTCGATCGCTCGAGGTACCTGCTCTTGCCCAACGCGTTGAAGCAAGTACCAGACAGGGCACAATAATGCCCGCGCCTCATCGGTTAGAGTATGTAGATAAGTTTGTGAGGCTCAAGGCCTCTGACTTAATCTTACCTGAATGGTTCGAGGTACCTGAATTATCCAAGGGCATCGTGAACTTCCCATCCATTCGCGAGACTGGTGTTTTGAATGTACGTTGCCAGAAGATCAGGTGTTTGTTCATTGCCCACCATTGCTCCTATTTTTCATTTCCATGATTATGGAATTCAATATGTGCAGTTAATATTCCCATCGAGTCATCAGTCACATTGCCTGCTCCCCCAAGAAATCTACTTTTTTTCCTTTCCCATCGCTAGGTACTTTCGGAGGGCTTCTTCGCCATAGCAAAGCGGGCAAGGCACTGTCAGGTAGCCTATCTTGCTACCCTATACTAACATTTATCATCTACGTGCACCACTTCTTCGCGAATAAAAGACCAGAGATACAGTCAAAAGCTAATCTACTTTTCCCACCTACAATTGATGGATATTGGTTATTCTTACTATCTAAAGACATCATGGTTGGGTTTCGGGTGTAAATATCCGGCCTATCACAAGCACTCCCCACAAGTTGCAACTTTTGGACAGGGTTAACTTACACAGCGATTTCAACCCCCCCAAAAGCGTTGTTGAATAAGCGGATTGTCTGTTGCTCACCCAGGCCATCTTCTAGAAAAGAACGCAATTTGAAGTATCACGGGACATTGAGAATGAAATATCTGGCTACTACTTAGCGCCTTATCATGGGGATAATCTCATCCATTGAGCTGCCTGTTGATCCATCCCCAAATAGCCGAGAGGGGGATTGTGTAGGAATTGGGTAGGAAGGTAACATCAAAAATAATTGATCTTCAAGTAAATCACCCCATCAATTATTCAATCATAGCCATAAATTCAAGAGAAGCAGCTCAGCGAAACCAGATCTACCCTCTCCTGCCGCAGATTCATATTGAATGGCCGACCACCAGCTGTAGAATTGCTTCAAGCATGACCATATCAGGCGCCATTCTGCTTCTGGCCTTGAGCGGCCCAGCCCTCGCCCACTTCCCCCGCCAGCAACTCTTGACCCGACAATGCCGGCCAGCGCAGACCTACAATGCAGAGATCAGTTACAACGCATGCTATGTGGATGCCAGCTACTCCTGGGCCTCGCGTACGCTCTCTGGCATTGAGGTTGAGCTGCCCCGAAACACCCCGCAGACGTGCGGAGACATCTGCGGACGCTTCGGGTACAAGTATGCAGGCGTGAAGAAGGGCAGGTATGTCATGTCCAATTGCGAGAGACGGAAACAAGATGGAGAGCTAATCTGCATGCCTCTATAGCGTGTGCTTTTGTGGAAACCAGATAAAAGATGCAAAGGCTGAAGAATCCTCTTGTTACGTGGAATGCCCCGGCGATCCCCAGCAGACGTGCGGCGGCGAGGCTCAGACTGGCTCCTCCAATGTCTCAATAAGCATCTGGAATGTCATCAATCCACGAAACGCCGAAGAGGAACTAGTCCACTTCCCTGATTGCACCCGCGAGCCTCTGTGCTCAACCAAGGTTTGCGACACCAGCTTGTCGGCCAAAGAACGAGCTGTTGCATTGGTATCTTTGTGGACGCCCGAAGAGAAGATTGGGAATCTTGTCGAGAAGGCGCTTGGTGTTCCCAGACTTGGCATTAAACCGTACAACTGGTGGGCTGAAGGACTCCACGGCCTGGCTACTTCAGGTGTCGATTACAACTCTCCCGGATCGGGGGAGTGGGATTGCGCCACGTCGTTCCCCCAGCCCATCCTGATCGGAGCTGCCTTTGATGATGATCTGGTGACGGAGATTGCAGACGTCATTAGCACGGAGACCAGAGCCTACAGCGCTGTTGGGAGGGTTGGCCTTGACTTATATGTAAGCATGTTTGCTCGCAGATAATCCCGCGATGCGCAATAAATTGAACTGACATCGTGTGAAAAATCTAGACGCCCAATATCAACTCGTTCAAGGACCCTCGATGGGGCCGCGGACAAGAGACGCCTGGAGAGGATCCCTTCCATGTGCAGAGCTACACCCGAGCTCTCCTCACAGGGCTGGAGAGGAAGGTCGGAGGCTACAAAAAGGTCCTGGCCACCTGTAAGCATTTCGCAGCCAACGACTTCGAAGTTTTCGGGAACATCACTAGGCACAACTTCAACGCCATCATCGGCCCGCAGGATCTCAACGAGTTCTACCTGTCTCCCTTCCGGACATGCGCTGAGCAGGATGTCGGTTCCTTCATGTGTAGTTATAACTCGGTCAACGGCGCTCCAGCATGCGCAAATAGCTATCTGATGGAGGATATCCTCCGGGAACACTGGGGATGGGAGGCTGATGAGCACTACGTCTCCACTGACTGTGGTGCCGTGGCTGATATTTTCAAAAATCACAAGTACACAAACTCTTTGGGTGCTGCCGCCTCTGTCTCCCTCAGGGCTGGTGCTGACCTCGAGTGCTCTGATGGGAACATAACTGCGTTGACCGAGGCATGGAATAACGACCTGATTAATGTCGCTGACATGGACAAAGCCTTGGTTCGGCTGTGGTCGTCGCTGATTTCGGTGGGCTGGTTTGACCCTCCCGATAAACAGGAGCTGAGGAAGCTTACATTCAAGGATGTCAACACCGAAAAGGCCCAAAAGCTCACCTATGACGTGGCCGTCGCGGGTATCGTGTTGATCAAGAACGATGACCACCATCTTCCGCTGCAGAAGGGAAGCGGCAAAGTCGCAATCATTGGTCCCTGGGCAAATGAGACGACCCAGATGTTGGGTAATTATCGCGGTCCAGCGCCCTACATCATCTCCATACTTCAAGCAGCAGACGAGATGGGACTCGATTACAGTTGGGCGAATGGGTCGGGTATCAACGCCCCTGATGATACCTTCGACGAAGCGATCCAAAAGGCCACAGAAGCTGATGAAGTAATTTTCGTGGGAGGGATTGACAACACCATCGAGGACGAGGGTAAAGACAGACTGAACGTCACCTGGCCCGAGCCTCAGCTGGACGTACTCCGCAAGCTGAGCAGCCTCAACAAGCCGATTACTGTGGTTCAGTTTGGCGCTGGCCAGCTTGACGGCACGGAGCTTTTGGGAAGTAATGCCATCAAATCCATCCTCTGGGCCGGGTACCCAGGGCAGTCGGGTGGAAAGGCGGTACTTGACATAGTGTATGGAGTTGCGGCGCCTGCCGGCCGGCTGCCGGTCACGCAGTATCCGGCAAAGTACGCTGATGAGGTGTCAGTCACCGATATGACTCTTCGACCAGGGCAGACTGGTACCAACCCGGGACGGACACACATGTGGTATACAGGCAAGGCTCCAGCCCCCTTCGGCCACGGGCTCCATTATACGGATTTCCAGGTCTCGCTCGAGAAGAAAGCCATCTGGGCCGACGAGCTCACGCCAGCTCTGGACGTCGCTCAGGTGAAGTCGCTCATTGCCGACCTGCCCTGGATGCACGCCATCAATCAAGGCATGATCAAGGTTGTAGTCAAGGTGAAGAACATTGGCAAGGTCGAGTCGGACTACGTCGCGCTGCTGTTTATGCGCAGTGAGGTTGGCCCGAAGCCTTACCCGCTCAAGACTCTTGCCGGCTACACTCGCATCAAGGCCATTCGCCCCGGCGAGGAGAAGCAGGCTGAGATCATCCTGCAACTGGGGCGGTTCCTCCGCGTGGAGGAGAATGGCGATCAGGTGCTGTACCCCGGGACCTACGAGCTGTTTGTTGATGTTGACGGGAAAGCGAGCTTGGAGATTGAGTGGAAGGGAGAGGAGCCTGTGACTGTCGAGCACTTCCCAGAGCTTTGGATCGCGCCCTAGTGACGGTCAGTAGACCTGGAATTTGATTATGGTGTTTGCAGATCGGTCTATACAGTCGGTAATCACGCGAAGGGACTGTCAATTGCCTGCTGTTGAATGTTGATTGTATTAAGATTGTGCCAGACGCCATTTGAGGATGATCCCAGTGACTGACTGGATGTTCGAAACTATGAGACTATGAAACCATTTCCATATCTATTCATGCGTAATTAGGCCGTGAATCACATTAGATAACCCTCCATCGATGCATTCCCTGCCTACTGCCACTCCATTATGCATTGTCCTTCCCATTTCCATCCCACAAATACCATCCCACAGATATCAAAGAGTGTGTTCCTCCGTTTCCAAACTGGGTATTGTCGCCATTGCTCCAAATCAAGGTCCGCCGCACGCTTACAGAGCAAGGAGAGCGACGAGAAGGGCAAAGGCAGCACCAGCCATGGGCTTGCCGGCAGCGCTTCCAGCGTCAGTGGAGGTCTGAGCCGCGCTCTCGGTGGCGGTGCTGGACTCGTCGCTGTTGGTGGCAGTGGCGCTCTCAGACTCGGAGCCGGTGATGGACTCGCGGATGCTGGAGAGGGCGCTGGAGAGGGCACCCGAGGCGCTGGTGATGGCGTCGGAGGCACTGGACAGGCGGCTGGACACGTCGGCAGAGGCGCTGGAGAGACGGCTTGAGGCGTCACCGGAGGCGCTGGAGAGGCGGCTGGAGAGGTCACCAGAAGCGCTGGACAGACGGCTCGAGATGTCGCCCGAGAGGGAGCTCTGGATGGAGGATACCAGGGTGGTGGGGATGGCCGAGGTGATGGAGCCGACGACGGAGCTGGCGGCGCTGCCGGCAGCAGATGAGGCAGACTCAGCGCCCGAGGTAGGGGCAGCAGAGCTCACGGCGGACTCGAGGCCAGCGGGGATGGTGACCAGAGGAGGCTGCGATGTGAACAGAGGGGGCTGCGAGGTAAACAGAGGAGGCTGCGAGGTCTCCTGGGCGGCGACGAGGCCGGCAGCGGCGAGGAAGACGAGAGAGTACTGCATGTTGATGGTTTGGAGGGTGTTGTGTAAGTGTTTGGGTGAGGATCACGGAGCAGGCGAGGAGGTTTGATATGCAGATGATGGTGGAGGGGAAGCGAGCGGGAGACAGGAAGAGGGAAGCAGGCGTTTTTATGCCTTGTGAAATGTATCACAGCTCTCTCCCCAACGATGCCCGACCCGACAGATACACTCGACGAGTGCATACATCTCGCATCCGACTTACACGGGTGGCCACTCGGCTGCGTGGACTCAGGCCCTTGGCATTGTGGGATCCAGGCACAAACCCCTCTCCCACCACGTCATGGACCTGCAAGCCAAGCGCCAGTTTCCATGGCTACAGCTCGCTCAGGCCCTTGCATAAGCTGCTGTGATTTGGTGATTACACTGGAGCCAGCATGGGGACACGGCATCTGCATTGACCACCGGGACTTCTCGCCAATTACCAGCCTCGCGACATCGAGATTCCACCCCGATTCCGTGTTTTCAGCCCTGGTTATCGCCTCTACCCTTGCCGAGTCGTGACGTCAGGCTGGAGGCTGGCCACAGCACATCACAGAAGCCTGCTGAGGCGTCCGTTGCTGTGGCGGTGACGGGGGGCGCTCTGCCTGTGAAGTCATCTCTACCATGCCATTGCGTGCAGTTCGCCAAGGAGCTGGGATGGCAGACGGATGCAGGCACTTCTGGTGACGAGCAATGATATGATGCTTGGCCAAGCAGGTCGCGGCGCGTCATCATTGGCTGGGGGTTGGTGTTTCACCAGTGCCCATTGAGCCTGGGAAAAGCATCGGCATCGGGTAGCCGAGACTTGACTGCTCGCGTGCGCAGATTTACAACTGTCCTGGATGTGATGTCTGCTTCTGGTGAAGGAGTGACAGTTGGATGCTACCTTGCGGTGTTTTCATTAGGTAGTCTTGAAATCATCGCTCTTTCATGGCCGGCGACCAGCCCTTTCATTCCCTGATTGTGATCCCAATTCGATTCGTCCTACGCAGGAAAACGCACAGACAAATCTTGTGGGATCGCAAAAGGGCTGGCGAGCCCACAAGTAGCGATGCCAAGCTCGCTGTACTGTCCGTCTTCCTTTTTCCAGGCACCGGTGGGGGTAAAAGCTACTCCGCAGCTCGTATTTTAGGTTTGCAATTTGAAGGTTCTGTCATTGAGGACATTAAGAGCAAAAGAGTACTCTCATTTTATCGGGAACACAAGGTAGCACCTGCAAGGGTTCTCGGATGAGCACTGAAGCCTCAGCGACACATGCCTAGGTGCGCGCATGTCTCAGATGTCTGGTGTTGAACAGCAAGCTCGTCATTCCGACACTTGAAGTCAACCCTTGAATACCACTCTTCTCATTGAGAGCTATTATTTTGGAGCACACATAGGGCCGGATCAAAACCTTCAAGGACCACTTAAAGCATGATCGACTTGTTCAAACATTAAAAGATGAAGACGATGTCATGTTTGACAGTCGTCTCTGGAGATGACATTGCCGCCATAAAATGGACTATGTATGTAGGCTCTATCGCACTTATAAGCGAACAAGTGAAGCGAAAGATTTGATGAACCCTTACCTCTACCCTAACTGAACCAAACGTTATGGCCTATTGTAAGCTGGAGGTATTATTGGCCTTGGCTTCGGATGTTGGAGCTGTATCGGAATCTTGTTCGGCCGCTTGGGGGCTAGCGAATGCCCGGAAAATAGGAGCACGATCTGGACTGTCTTGCGATTAAATTTTTGATCATCACCATGCCAAAATGTGCTAAAAATCATGTAGTACCTTCCGTAAAAGAAGGTAATAACACGGACTAAAGTGGACAGCATTAGGCTGGTTGTGCGGTTGAGTGTTATATCGAATGGCCATTTCCCGATAAATATTGTGAGAGCTTAGAGCGAGGGCATGGCGTGGAGTAACAGTGTCTTATAACCTTCTCCTCTGAGGATTTGAATAATTAGGTAGGACTCTAATGAGTTTTGTTTCAACCTATTCGAGCTGAAGAAGAGGATCAGCTCAGAATTTCCCCCTAAGATGACTGATGGAAATAGCGGATGCCTATAACCATGCGAGTTTACATTTGCACGATAGAATTTTCCAAACGACTCAGATTCTTGTTGAGTATAAAATGGAATGTATGAAGCATGGTCGTGCCGGAGGCATATGATGAAACCGGTAAGAACGGTGCCTGTATATATACACCAACATGTTTTAGGAACTGCCCGTTTGAATGAGTGGGTGGCCTGGGAAACGAAATTTACTAGCTCTGAGTGCAGGGTCCTTGTCGTTTTTCTCTGGTTGCTTAAATGCTCTGTATGAGTTGCTGCGTCCTTCGGCCGTGGAGGAAATAGGCGTGTTATTCCTTTCGAGAGGTAATACATGATCGAATTTACGATGTAAGGATCCAAATGTTTCTGAGGGAGGGGTTTCGGATGATTTAGGTACTGAATTAGTTGCAGCGGGGATGATGTGAATGTCTGGGAAGGGGAAGTGCTTGACGAATTCGGGGGCTTTTGGCCTGACGCACCACTTATGTGACAATGGCAACGGTAATTCTAAGCTGAGCTGTACCAAGGGCTAGCCTCTCTGAGAGCGTCACTCAATTTGCGGTGACTTGTCCCTTCAACCGCAGAGATTCGTCTATTCTTATTATAAACAACAAGGTTACGTTAACAAGGTGATCGGCAAAAAAGCCCAGCAACAGTAAGAAGAAGCTCGGTAACAGCAACAAGAAGCCTAGCGTGAGCTACAAATTAAACAGCACCTAGAGGGTTAGCAACAAAATAGCCGGTGATGAGAAGGTTGGTAATAGCTGTAAGAAGAACGACAACTAGAGAGTCAGAAATAAGACGTTCGGCAGTAAGCAAGAAGAAGATTGCAAACAGCGAGAAAAAGAATAGCAAAAAGAAGGTCGACAATAGGAAGAGAGAAAACTATGAGGCCACTGGCAAGAGGAAGAATAGCCACAACAAGGTTGACGATTAAGACTGTTGACAAGAGGAAGAGAAACAATAAGACAATTAATAAAGAAAAACAACAACCGTAAGAAAACTGGCAAAGAAGAGAAAAACATGAACACCAGCAATGATAAAAAGATTGGCAGCAAAGGCAAAGCTAGGAATGGAAAGGCTTCTGCTCAATGAAGAGCCTACAGTCCGAGTCAAGCCTTTAGATGCGAAATTTACATGCTCTTGGTGGCAAAATTTGAGCCGGCCGTGCCTATTCAGATTGAAAGACCAGACAAACAATGTCGGCACCTGGAAACATAGCAACGAGAGGCTTGTTGATGATGTGGTTGCTATAGCTGATACGAAGCAAAGAGACCCCATCAACACACCCACCATGATGAGACTTCAGCATATGGCGGAAGATGCGCAGTTAGAACCCGGCAAGAGATATGCCTACTGAGAGCAAAAGAATTCTTACAATGGACACCGAAGTCTGATCCACGGCACCTACGAGGTTTCGCACGAGAACGGCCAGGGGAGATACCACTTTAGGGACATGCACATGTGTGGCTTTGGCTGCGATCCGCGCACGGGGGGCAAAAATCCAACACTTCAATGGAGAATCAATGAGCTGTGGGACTTGGCGTGGGGGATGACCACGGATGGCTTTCTAATGGGGCCTATAGCGCGTAGGAGGACAAAGTTTTTGGGTGAAGTCGACCCTGATGCCAATGTCGAGAGGAGCGGTGAAGCGCTGAAGGCGAAAACTTCACACTATAACTGCTTTGCTCATTCCACATGTACCGGCGGAGGTGTTAATTCCCATACGTTTGTCGATGATCTTTGGAATGATATCAAAAAGAAGGCTGAGTAAATAGGAGATTCTCAGGTTTATATAGTATCTTATCTAGCAACAGGTAAGCATCGTTCACGACCTTTTGTAAAATCTTACAGATTTTGTAGTAAATTAATAGTCCCACGATTCCAAAGTAAGCACTTGCTTAGAAAAAGTTAAGTAACTATAAGATCTTACAATAGCTCGTAAGCTGCGACGATGCCTAGTAACAGGACCTTTGTGGCACTCTTCACTGTTTCAAAAACATCTTGGTTTTGAAGCTTTGATAGCAACATTCTTCCCGCAGTTGGCCCCCTCTTTCCATCGACAACAAGTTTGAAGTGAAAGTTGCTGATTTTTGCCGTCGGTCAGTATGAGCAGCGGACTAATGTCCGACGGACATTGCGGAATACAAGAAAAGAAGGACCTAGACCATCCAAAGTACTTGATGACCAGCTACCCCTGAAAACTCACTTGCCTAGTGCCGTAGATGTAAGCTGCACGGAACACCCTTCATCTGCCGACTGTTTGTCGGTGTAGGAGTACGTAAACCCATCTCCTGGGACCGCCAGGAATATCATCCTGGTTGGAGTGGGACAGAAACATGCTGGTCACGTACAATGGGCTTATTCATTTAGCGTAGGTATTAAAGTTCACGTTGGCTCGGGGAAGCTTGTCCTGTCTTCTCTCAACTATCACCAACACAGCACAATCAACATCATGAAATTCATCATCGTCGGCGCTGGACTGGGCGGCTTAAGCGCAGCTCTCTGTTTCGCAAGGCGTGGCAATGAAGTCCTGATCTTGGAACGAAATGCCGCGCTCACACCACGAGGCGGCGCGATCAACATCCGCCCAGGTGCCAGCCGTATCATGCGAGAGTGGGATTTGGAGGCAGACTTGGCTGAAATTTCCGAAAAAACACCCAACTTTCTTATCCGTCGGATGGATACAGGCGACATCTCGATGGGTAGCGCTGCCGTTGACATCTCTTCGTTTCCTGACTGGGGCACATTTCGCCAAGATGTCGTTCAGCTTCTATATCGTAAAGCCTTGGACAAGGGAGTTCGGATTAACTTTGGCTCTACTGTCAGCAACGTTAGCGAGGATGCAGAGGGTGCTTCAGTCTCGTTGGACAACGGCTCCATTGAAAAGGCAGACGTGGTTGTCGTCGCAGACGGGATCCGATCAAGGCTCCGATCAAAGATACTCCCGGGAGGTCCGGAAGCGACAGATCCCGATATCAGTCACGTAACGTTTTACGGATTTCAGGTGCCTGCAGAAGATCTGCGTTCCCATCCAGGGACATCTCGGCTCATGGACCAAGTCAGTGGTAACTGCTGGCTAGGCAAGGGCGCTTTTGCCATCACCAGGTTCAATTCAAGGCTGCAACGTGTTGGCTTTCTCTTTGGGGTCGAATCGGAAACTGACCAGAAGTCACTGTGGGAAGAGCATGGCGATATCAACTATGTTCGAGAACGATTTGCAGGTTCAACTTGCAGTGAGCTCGATGTTGCGCTGAGCCTTGCCACGGAGTGTGACCGCTGGAAACTGGCTGAGATGCCCGATTTGCCGCGCTGGTCGAGCGATGGGGGACGCATTCTGCTCTTAGGCGATTCGGCCCATGGTATGCATCCAAATGCAGCTCAGGGATATTCGCAGATAGTCGAGGATATTGCTGTCTTGGACTTCTTGATTACGCATCACAGCGAGGACAATAAAGGACTCTCACTAGGACACGCCCAGATGCAGAGCGTGTCCCAGGCCTGGCAGGCCATAAGGAAGCCGCGAGTGGAACGAATCAAAGCGTATTCCAGATCGAACACTGATTTGTTCTTGGGAAAAGCAGCCCCTCCTCCCGGCAGCCAATCTGCTCAGCACAGTCTCAAGTCTATGAAGGATGTTCAACCAGACATAAATGCCAACTTTCAGTCGTCCCAATTTCTCAAGTGGGCTCTCGACTATGATGCTGTGAATGAAGTAAGTTCATCCTCTTCCTGGTATTATGTTAACACATACAACCTTCTATCAATTGTCACAACGGATTTTCAGCCCTTCATAGGTTCGGGATCGGACATAGGATTTTCTTTTGCTAACCGTCTTACTCCGCAGGCGAAACGTTTTGTTAAGGAAATGGAGCCGAAGCTCTAAATCAACAATAAAGTTAGGTTCATCATAGAATCGGATATGTCAATAGCAAAGTTTGGGCTCCTATATGAAAGCATTTGGATGAAGAAGATGGATTTGCCATGTGCTGAATTCATTCTAGCTCAACATGGCTCATATTCATTATGACCTTGCATAATATGTTATTAGAACGATACTGATACATACATGTACTGATATACAATAAAGAAGCATCGTTAGCCCTTAGAGAGCTGTCACAGCCCAGCTGTCGGCTTCAAATTTCAAGTTTCCCCCCTGACTTGCGCTCTCAGCGTCAACGTACACCTTGAGGCCAATCTCGCCCGACTCAATACCATAGACTCGGAAAATTGCAAACACCTTTTTCCTACTGCTTCCAGCGCTGGCCTCTGACCAGTACTGCCTCATCTAAACGTCGCATCAGGTTAGTATAACAAATAAATATGAAGCAAAGGGGATGATTGGATAATAACGTACGCGATTGTATTGGCTCTTGCTCATATGAAATGGCGTACCAAGATTGCCAACCGAAGTCTTCACCTCGATGTGATACTCTGGACATTCACCTACCCACGTCTCGTCAAAGTAACCCTTTTCAATGAGATAGTCTGTTAGGGCGTTCTGTGTATCTTTGTACTGGATATCGCCATCTTCCTCTCCAACCCACGCATCCATATCAGCGTAGTCTGGATGGTCAGTGACGAATCTTCGGATAACGCTCTGCCAATTGGAACGTCCAAAGTTGGGGAGAGGGGGATCAAGGTTGGAGAGCGTCTCGAAAACCTGAACAGGAAAAGGATCATTAGTTCAAGGCACGAAACGAGCGAAAAGAAACAATTGCCACTTACAAAAAGTTCACCAGCCGCGCCCACCATCTGCCTCCATTCGTCTGTATTAGAGTGAGAGAACTTCAGCTGTTTGGTTTTCGGCCTAGAATCCGAAATTTCCAGGCCATTGAGAGCTTGGGAAAGGTCCGCTTCGCCGCTCTTGGATGGGAATTTGTGAGCTCTTGCTGCTTCTACAATGTGGACGAGCACGTCAAGGTAAGCATCCTTATCATACGTGTCTTGCAGAGTGAGCGAGGACTGAGAAGACCTTCCCGAAGAGTTTGGAAGGACTGCCAATTTTCGGTTCTCGGCTTGCACTTCAGCAGCTAGATAGTTTTCGCCGACAAGACATGGCAACTTCAAGTCAGGCACACCATTCAACTCGAGAATCCGGTGGACATGGCTTGGTTTGGCTTGGAGAATGCTCGCCGCGATATTAAAGACTGTAGCATCTACCTTGCGTGCATCACATCCCAGCAAGGCAGCCATGAGCTCCCGAGGTAGTCTGGATGCAATGGCCAAGTCTCGAGAATCTTCGTCTGTTGTGATGTATATCCGCAGATTGCCATTCTCCAAACGCTGGATGTGAAGGTCACTTTGGCCGATAGATTTCTCGACTTTCTTCCCGCCCTCTTCGGCAATCAGATTGGACTTGATGGAGTCAATAACATAAACCTGGACCTTCTGCAGGCTTGCATTCAGCTGATCAGGGTTGAGGGATCTATTGGAATATCTCGCGATGCTGCATCAAGCGTCAGTCCCACTGCCTTGAGAATTTCACTTCCAGTGCTTCCGTGTACCTACCTCACAAGAGCAGGAGCTTTCAATGCGAGATCTCTCGTTAAGCTATTGAGTTTCTCAATATCCCCTCCCTTAACTCTAGTCTCCTCGATAACAGCCTGGGACAGATACCTGTCTTTCAAGTCAAACCACTCGAATACGCCGTGCAGCCGTGTCACCTCATCGAGTGTGAGGTCAAGTATTGTAAGGCTATCTTTCAAGGCTTCGGCGTAATGGTGGCGATCGCCAATGAGAAAGTGATCACGCGATCGAAGTACTTTGCTAGTACCATCAGGCAGAATTACGGGAAAAATATGGAAACGCTCAGCTTGAGGCCCGAATCTTATGCGACCTGACGGTGAAGAAAGCATGGCGTTGAGGGAGATAAGCATATCCTTGGCGGCGGCTGTTGTGGGCACAGTATCGTGCATATCAACAAGTTCCTGATAGAAAAGCTTCAGGTCTAGTTCGGGAATCTCAAGGAACGTATGGAAGAACTCTTTAAGATCTGGATAGAATTCATCCAGGCAAGGCTTCCCGACGATCGCGCCGTTGGCCGACCACAGGCATTCTGAGATCTTGAACCAATGCCTATTGTTCTTGCTAATGGGTATATATATCATCTTTCCGGTAGAGAACATATACCTTAGCATCAGTTAGCATTGAGCATTGGCTAACACTAATGAGTTTGGCACATACCTTATGTGCTTCGATGTTTTTGGAGTAGCACTGGTCACACTCAAGTGTTGAAGTAGTTCGTATGTTTCTTTCAGGGTATTGCTTGGGGCATGATGCACATGAGACATATGATCTCGCTTAAAACAAAGTTCATCCAAGATATCCTGGATGGCGGTATTCCTGATTCCAACGAAATGGCAAAAGAAATGTGCCAGGTTGTCACTGTCCTCGGGCTCGATGGAATTCAACACATTTCTCCAGGAGTTGCGGAGTGGGACTTTGTGGAGGAATCCTGAGGGTGCATCCCAGAGGCAGGCCTCGGGGGAATTCCATACAAGGACGCCGTCTTTTGTCTTACCACGGTATATATAATTTCTTAATGTACTAAAGAGTGGCAAGAGGGATTAGTTGCGATCATCGAAACAAGCTGGGAAGTAGTGCGAGGTCAAATACCGGAATTTAGCCTGGGCCAAGGATTTTCCCTTCGGATCCAAAGATAGATACTGTGCGTAGATTCGGTTGTAGAGCGTCCAAATAGAATGGACCACTGGATCAGCGGGGGCAGATGCACCGGTTGTGAGTGCCCGTAGGATCTCAATTGAGAGATGGATACTGTCCTCAACATTGATGCCGAAGTGCTTCCCAAAACCCATCCAGCCAGGGTCATCATCCTTTAAGGGGGACTCAACCTTGAGAAAATTGATTGCCTCGTGATTCTTCAGGAAGCTTTCACAGCGAGACAACAGGGCAGGAAACGGCAGGAACGCGTACTGTAAACCAAAGGTTTGACGCCCGGAAATGGTGCGAAATTCGGCTCTTCTGATGAGATCAACACTTTCGGAGTCCTCCTCCCAACGCTTCCTGAAGTCAGGTTCTCTCCACTTATTGGCAAAATACGTGAGAACCTCCTCTGAGCGGTATTTGATAAGGAAAGCCCCCTCAGCAGACAGAGTAGTCTTTATACCTGCAATAAATTCTACATCTTCTGCCAGGTTGAAAAAGTGACGGAGCCAGTCTTCCCACGTCCATCCGGAGCTGAGAGGTTGGCGGGGAGGATCTTCGAGGTACTGTGGGTGTAGATAGGAAACTTCTACTTCGACATCTGGCTTACCGGGAACTTGGTTAGGTCGAAGCCAATTCTGAGCAGAGTATCTGCTTTCACCTGGGAGATAAACAAGCGTTTGCAGTGGTCGTACGTCGTGGTTCATGTGGTCGAAAAGTATCATGTCATTCAAGACCGAAGGATTATTCGAAAATAAAGGGTGGGTTCCCGCCTTAGGTCCACACGATGGTAGCCTCATCAGATATAGCCAAACAAGATGCTGCTTTGTTTCTTCAAGAGTAACGTGTTGTTTAAATAAGGGGGTCTTGTGTCTTGCAACTAGCTTCTTCAAAACGTCTGAAGGTGATGGTTTTTGCACACCTAGGCTTTCGTACAACCGCCTACATGAAGCGTTTACTGCCGCGGCTGGGAGAATAGCATGTGGTGCGAGATCCCGAGGAACAGGTATCCCTTCACAATCTGGGAAATTGCAGGTAGTCCCGGTGCCAGATATAGGCATGGCTGGGGCGACGTCTCCCGAAGCAAGAGGTATCAATGGAAGGTGTGCAAATCTATCTTTCACTGTCGATTTGGAAGAATCTGCATTCTGATCACCGAATGAGAATGGCCCGGGCGTGGATGCTCTCGAACTCAAGGTACCTATGGCGTTGGCGTTGGCGGTAGTCTTGCCTTGTTTACCGAATGCAAACAGCGAAGAGGTGGACAGTCCCGGATTGGGGTTGCCTCTGATCTGGGCGCCAGCTGTCTCACGGCTGCCGAAGGAGAATACTCCTGACGAGGATGACGATGGACTAATGTTGCCCGAAGGTTGGGGTGACGCGGACCCTTGTATCGTGTCATTTTTCATCGCTGCCAGAATCAATGTTGCCAGCCTGCTGTGCCAGTCTTCATCTCGTGTCTCGAAGAGAGCTTTTTTCCACGATTGTTCCTTGACCATTGCTGAGAGAAGAGAGTATATTTCGCCTAGTTGGAGTACTGGAAGGCCGTACTCTCTTAAAATGTTAAGGTCGCTATCCTCGTAGTCCTTGGATAAATACATCGGATTGCTCCATGGATCCGGAATGAGAGGGTCGCCGTTTTTGTCCAGATGACGAGCCTCTAATTGCCTCATCTGTTGCATGGGACATCGGGCAGCCTGTCGAAGGGGGACAAGAATCCGCGCCTGGGCAAGTGGTGACTTAAGTTCAGATATCATATCTTTCCAGAAGGGTGAGTGGTTCAGGCTTTCTTCGCGAGGTAAGTATCTCATCCACTTGTATTGGAGGGTTCGATGCTTGGCCAACTCTTCTATGCCTTTCACCAGAGCCTGGCTGATAGCCTTGCGAAGACCAACATTTCGTTGAGAACTCCAGACAATGTCCTGGCGATTAGCCTGAGTCACAAAGTCTGCATGGATGAGGAACTAAATGCATGAAATTGTCAGTTGAGGGTTTGTTCGCGGACTCGGGACACTACTGACGTTGAAGCCAATTTTACGGACTGGCATGAAGGCGAAAACATCTTGTATTTCAGTGATGGGTTCGTCGTTTTCATCAAGCGGAAAGGCCAGAACCACTTGCGATGTCGAATACAACGCCAGACCCTCCTCAGTCTCTGAATAGGACCTGTTCTCATTCCTGGACAGCCCCGTAGCAGTATACTTGGTGACATGAAATTGTCTGACCATCTCAAAATCGGTGCCACTGGTGGCATCAAATTGATTCGTACGGAGCTCGGAGCCTTGTGGAAAGCTTGAACTGTCTGATAATGCCATAAACTTGGACCATATCTTGTCCTCGTCCGATTCGAAGACAGAAATATTGATGCGCCTCAGTTTATTCACAAACAGCAACGCCTCGCCTTGAAGGTCCTTGAGCTGATTGATGATCTCGTCACGCCTCTTCGCCAGATCGCCTGGCGTTCCGTTATCATGAAAGTAGAGCGAAATCCGTGTCCCTGGGCCTTGGAACTCGGCCTCGGGCTCGAACCAGATGGGGGTGATCATGCCCATGCCAGAATCACCCACCTGGTGCTCGAAATAGAAAGTGAAAGGCCCTGATTCGATTTGCACCTTCCAAGCAGCCATGAACGTCGACTTGAAACCGATGCCCTTCTCGCCGATGTATCCCTGGGCACCCTGCTTGGAGCTCTTCCCAATGTTGCAGATTGCTGTGAGATTTTCACTGGTGAAGCCATCCTCGTTGCATTCCACGACAATACGGTCCGGGTAGACGCTGAATGAGACATATGGGTCATGCCCGTCGGCCAAGGCCTTCAAATAGCTATTATCAGCAGCATTTTGAAGTAATTCAAAGATGAAGCGAGCAGAGCTTGAATATAAATTTTGGGCCAGTCTGTCGAGCAGATTATATTAGTCCATGCGCGTCGCGTCTAGTTATTCACTTTGATTGCAGTGGTTGGACGTACGTTGAGACAGACGCTGCTATCATATTATCCTTCTTCTGGAGGGCATGTAAAACAGTAGCACGAATCTCATCGGGGATTAAGTCAACAACATGGGGTGGAAGATAGCCATGATTGACCGCGATCTCGTCGACCAGCTCACGCGCCTGAGCGCGATCTGCCACACCGGCAACGGCGGGAGCTGCCATTTGATGGTCGCGTGCCGGTTGAAGCAAATATCATAGGGTTTTCATGGGTTAAAGGATGGAATAGCGAGAGAAACTGACACCTCGAGTGGATTAGATCATTTCTACCCGCACAACGGCATCAAGAAGAGGAAAGGAGTGGATAATAATTCAAGGGCGTACGTACGTCACTTCTTTGTCTGATCTTCATGTTCACGATCCATCTAATTAGGCTTAGAACATACCCTGTCCGTTTCAGACTATTAAGAGCTATTGAAGTTAGTGTCCACACCCCAGTGTTTTTCCCTGACGCGACGCGGAGATCTTCATCTCTGCCGTTGAACAGTACTACTTGACTACTCAGAAGGATTATGAATTTGTATGTAGAAGTTGTGTAGGTATGACGAATACGGCCAGGGTGGCAGGGTCTATCCAAGCATCAGATTTAAGTACTCAGCTGTGAATCACGATCAAAGGAAGCTAGAATGTGGCAGTATTTCCTGTTTTTTTTTGCAGGTATTTTTATGTACTCTCTATCAAAATATATACAATGAAAGAAGTTTGTGTTTTTTTTATACGCCGACCATCTCTGCTGGCGGCGGCGTCGGTTGTCTCGGCGGCTCAACCACATTCGCGCGGCCATACCGAGTATCATGAATCTCATAAACCGGACTAGGATACACCGGATTGGAGTAGACCGTCTCGGGGCTCGCTGATTTGGAATAGAAGGACGAATCCGACCCGTAATAGTAATTCTTGGGCTCATCCCTCGGTAGTTCTGGTTCGGGGGCCGGCCGTCGGTGCTGGTACATGAACCATGCGAAGGCCAGGATAAGTGTGACGAGGGCCGTTCCTCCCAGTACGCCTCCTACGATGGCGCCGATATTTGTTTTGTTGGAGTTATTGTTGTCATTATTCGTGTTCTCTTTGCTCGCGTCACTTGTTGTGTTGGTAATCTTCAGCCCTGAAAAGCTGCTCTTGAAGTCCGCATCGTCGGCCCAGTTGACCCTGGCGGAATAATCACTATAATGAATCAGCTGACTGTTTGTAGGATAATGAATGCGCGCTTAGGATCGTACCTTTCTTGATAATATTGCTGGACAAAGTTGGGCGTCTCATAGTCGCCAGCAGATGGGTTGTAGCTGTCCACCCAGTTGCCCGTGTTCATGTCAAGAATTCCAATGCCATTGGGCCACTGTTCTACCGTGCTGAAGGCATTGTCGCCTGTTGCACCGCCGACTGAGATCATCTGGCTTTTGCCAATGGTTGCGCAATCGTGGTATCGGCGCCCGGGAGCTCGGCTCGACGGTGCTCTGAACCAACGGAATGCTGGCAGAGACAGTCTGGAAAGCAAGCGTGTTAGTATTGTATTATCCATTTACTGGACCGAGGGTAGGCCTTATACTTACACCCAGACGTCGTCTAGATCTGTCGAAATGCGATCATTATACCCTCCATATATAAAGCTAGAAATCACCATGTCAGTACATACATTCAAATACAAACAAAGCAGGGCCAATGTTCATACATCTCGTAGGTTCCGTTCTTTCCGCGAGCTCCTGTCAGGCAAAATTGGCTGCGAGAATCAGGAGCAGTAGCTGATCCAAACGGAGACACGTCGGTGGAAGTCGGTTGCTGAATCCACTTGCGCTTCACAGGGTTGTAGAATGAGAGGTCAGAGAGAGAGTTCTGCTTGACCTGCTTCCCTGTCGTCATCGATGAGACGCCGCCTCCCAGGAACATGATGAGAGGGTCGCTCCCGAAACCCTCAATGCAGTGGCCTCTGCCGTTGATCAGAGGCCCGTCCATGGAATAACCGTCAGTCGAAATGTTCTCCCACTTGCCAGTGCTCATTTCGTAGGTGAGCAGTCCGGGAGCCGGGAACCAGCCGCCGTCTTGCTCGCCGCTGACTCCAGACTCGGTCCAGTAGCTTGATGATCCGCCCATGTAGTAGCCAACTCCCTTGCATGATGCTGCAGCGCCCTTGCTCGCTACTCGGAGGTCGGCGAACGTGTCGGGGTTGGCGGCATCCTTCTCTCTCCAGGTTCCGCCACCGTTGCCGTCGACGGTGAACTCGTACAGGGTCTTCTTGTATGTGTCCTCCACCTTGGATCGGTTGGTCGAGGAGCCTGCCCACTTGTACATCTTGTTGTCTCCATCGGTCCAAAGACCAAACTGGTCGACGGTCTGGACCTTTCCATTGTATGCCGTCTCACGGAATATGACCGAGCCGTTCATCCATGGCTGCGTGAGGGGAAGCGCGTACGTCGAATTGACTGGAAAATTGTAGTTAGTATCTGCCGAGATGCTTTGCTGGTCTGCGATGCCTCCGTACTTGCGACGCGATCCGATAATCCCTTCTCAAACCATGAAGAGTATGATCCTCCCTCGATGTACAACCAATCGCCCAGGACCGCGACTAGAAAGTGTCAGTTTTTCGCCGCCAGAAGATAAAGTAATCGGCATGTCGTCTTACGCGAATGGAAGTTTCTTCGCTTCAGGTTGATATTAGGACCGGCGGCGCGGACTGAGATGGCGCACACGCTCAGGACGACGACCAAGACGGAGATGGCCTTGGAATACATGATGGGCCGTCTTCGTTCGCAATTGATTATGTTCTTGCTGTCGCTGCTGTGCCCAGATTCCCGTCGATAGCACTAACGAAAGGCATCAATGGGGTAAAGGCGCGGATGGGTGGCGTGAATCAACAGGTTGAATAGAGGGGAACTTCCCAAAACGAAGCGCTCCGGATGAGTTTTAACGATTGACGCCCACATGGTTTACAGGAAAAGACCCATGAGATCACCCGAAGCGTCCGGGGCACAGCCTGCTTGCGTCCGTGACACTCCTTGGCACAGAGCATTTTTGGCGGCCGATGCAACGGTTATTCGGTTATTCTCAGCTCTGTCCATCTGGAGACGGGAAGGATAAGCACCTAGACTGCTTTGCCCTCTTGCTGCCAAGGGGAGGGACAGGGGTAGTCCTCCCAGCATGTTCCAATATTAGCATAAGCAGGCCACGGATCGCTATAATTAAACCTCCGGTCCACCCTTTATTTGCGTCTTCTCTCGCTAGCAGCTGGCTAGGCCCCCGTTGGATCCCATCTGACTCCCTGTTCCATTGGCTGCTATACGCCTGAATCACGGTCACTCGTCGACTAAGGCCCCGTCCCGGTAGTTGTCGGTAGTATATCGAGCCAGGCCCCCTCGTATTCACTGCCAGTAACGGTCATATGGACCGTCACCCGCAGAGCCAAGAATACAGTTCAGTGCCAGCCAGCAAGGGCTTCGGATGCCTTCTAGCTTCGGCATCTGCACCGTCCACAGGCCCACTGGACGTGCGAGTATTTAGCAATTTAATTTATCTTGTCGGCAGAGGCATTTGGATGTTCCACGCTCACACTATGTTGTCGCTGCAGGAGAAAAGCGACCTTGTAGTCGTGTGGTTATAGACTAAGACATACCATATGGACATCAAGCCACCCTCAAAGGCACCGTTTCTTTCGCAGACGCGGCCTGGCACGGTAAGGAGCGTGAAAGCCCCCAAAGCAATGCATGACAGATGGTCTGACCGGGGTGTCGGACTGATATCATGTAAAAAATAACTTAGTAAGTCAGGCTACTCCTTTTATCTGCTTTGGTCTCTCAAATCCTTCAGGCACTGACAGCCAGTGACAGGCCGGCCCCGTAAATTAATTATGCTTGTTCCATTTTCAAGCCCTCCTGCACACTATTTTTCCTCGTATCGTTGGTTGCCCAAACTTTGCTTTTTCAAGTCAATCTCCTCCATGAAAACTGATGTCACCAACCCCAACCCACTCAAGCCCGTCATGGTGTAAAAGATCACACGGAAGCAGTCCAGGTAGACTTTCAGTACGGGATCCAACTCCGATTTGGCAATGTCCAATGAATTCAACTCGTTGATGAAATTTACCGCATTGGCGGCATCACTCAGCGGCGACAAGGGTCCGACCGGTTCAACCCCAGCGCTGGACATTGACGAAGCAAACACCGTGTTGAAGATGGCCGACGATATCGCAAGGCCCACGAGGCCGCCAAACATGCGGATGGTGAGGAACTGCCCGGTAGCCAGGCTGGTGTCGTCGACGTGCTTGACGCTGGCCTGGATGGGAAGCATACTTAGCCGTAGGAGCGACACTCCCTGGCCCCATAGAATCGGGAGACCGTACCGCATGGCTGATGAGGAGCTCACGTCGAAGAGGGCCAGTACGCCGGTGCCTACCGTAAGAATCACCCAGGAGAGCCGTAGAATCCACACGTACCCCCCGAAGAGCGGAACCATCATCATAGACACGGCGGCGATTATCGTGCTCAGGATGACGGTCGGTAGAAGGAAGACTGCTGCCGAGATGACCGTCTGAAGCTGCACGGCCTGATAGAACAAGGGCAAGTACTGCAGCAACGAGATGAGAACCGCGCCGTGGAGGAAGCCACCAATCTGTGTTGACCTCGCCGTTTTGGAGTGAAAGAGCCGGTGAGGCATGATGGGCTCCGTTGGCTTTCCCTCGTAATACACAAAAAGCGCGAGCACGACAACGCCCAGGAGCATGGGGACCAAGGTCTGCCAGGAAGCCCAGGGGAACAAGGAGCCAGCCCAGCTGAGCGGAATGACAAAGATGGCGATTCCAATAACGACAAGAGCCATGCCGAGCCAATCGAGACGGCTCAGCCGGTCAGTCAATGGGCCCTCATTAGGAACAGGTCGGAGTTTCAAGAAGAAGAAGACGAGGGGGAATCCCAAACCGAGTATGGGAAGATTGATCCATCCAATCCAACGCCATGTGACGTACGTAGAAAAAAGTGCACCGATGAAAGGGCCGAGAATGTTTCCCACGGCTGAGGGGATGGCTAAAATGCCGAGATACTTGGCCCGTTCCTCGAGGGTTGTCATGTCAGCGATAGTAACAGTGACTATCACATCAATGCCTCCGCCGCCAAACCCTTGTAGAACTCGCCCCGCAATAAGAATATCCATATTTGAAGCAATAGCAAAGAGTATAGACCCGATGAAGAAAAGGCCGATGGACAGGTATAGTGGGGGTTTTCGCCCAAAAATGTCCGAGATGCTTGCCAACACCGGATGTAAGACGAGACTGCAAAGGGTGTACGATAGGCTTGCCCAAAATGCCTGCAAACTCGTGCCTTGAAGGTCTTTGGCTATTGTCTACCGGTCGCGCACAATGAAAACAACGGTAAGTAATGCGAAAACGAGGTCAAGAAGAGGTACGTCTCACTATGTACTTACTGGGAGGGCAATACCCAAGCATGTTGCGTCTACGTGAACAACAAACAGAGTCGCAGCAAGTCCTGCAAAGGCAAGCATAAAAGACGTGGACTTCTTAGGACTCGGTACAGGTTCCTCCCGAGGATCTCTCTCTTCATCGGAGGTTTGAGCCACAGAAGTTGCTGTGACAAGTTCATCTTTGTTGTTCTTCTCCGACTGTCGTTCTTTACTGTGAGGAAATTCAACATCTGATGAAACATGCATTCCGCTGCCAGAAATGGCTTCGGAATCGTGCATATTGTGTATAAATCACCGAGTTGATGAGTCAATTGAGGGTGAATGAGTGAGTGAAGCTGTAGGGTAGATCGTAACCAGCGGAAGCTAAGAGGCACCAGGGTTGTTGTTAGATCCGCCTGTGGAGGAGTCTTAGTTACAGATTAGAACAGGGAAAACTGTAAGAATGTCTGAATGAGAGCTATTTAAAAGATAAAAGAAGATTTCTAACTAGCAGAAACTCGGATTGCCGGAATGCCCTTTTACGTGCCATGTCTCTTTGATCAGCCCGAGACTCTGACCGGAGATCAGATCTTGGTGAAATTTGTGGAGCAAATTTGAAGTTGCTGACGAGAAAGTCGCCGGTCAATTTCCCACAGTAAATAAACTTGATTGGCTAATAATTGGGGCCTTCTGTGTCGTTTTCTGGCTGACGCGTTGTTTGGTTCCTCTCGCGTCTCGCGTCGGAACAGAGCCATCTAAATCGCTCCTCACACGAAAGGTAAGGTAGTCTCTTAACAATAAAATTTAACGTGGTATAACTACAATATCAGGTAATTGTAATCCTCCATTTGCATATCAAAAGGGTCCCATAGCATCCCTATATCTTGCCCAATGGACATCGCCCCGTCTCTCGCGACAAAATCGCCACTCGTAGCCTGGTTCAAGTCGCCCAGCTGTCTAGTGAAGGTAGGGGTGATGCGACCCATTCTCTTTTGCTGAGAAGCATCACCAACAGGGCGCGGTTCAGTATTTGAGGCTTGGACCGAAGACTCATCTTCCACACGAGGCATCAAAGTGTGGCGAGAAGGCAGATGATGTGAATTCTGTTCCCCTTCAGGGCTCGATGATCGAGGCCACATGTCTCGATGCTGCCCTAATACATTGACAAGTTGCTCAGCATCGGCCAAGCATTTGTCTGCCCGTTTGTGCATTTGGCGGAGCCCATCGGCCAACGAGAGCGCATCTCGCAGCTTTCCCTGAAGGGCAGCAACGGAGCGAGATCCTTCTACTGGGAGCAAGTGCGCCAAATGAAGGAGTATCTGAGAGACTTGGAAAATGGATGTACAAAGAAACGTGTCTTGTATCATCTCACTGGGCTCGAGGTGGAAGACTTCCGACCACAAGTCGCAAAGGCGAATCGCACGATCTAAGCATGCTTCCTGGCAATACGAGACATATTCAGTCGGCGTCCGTTCGAAGCAGTCTCTACCAACTGCTTCGCGTATACCTGGTATTAGGAAGCGATATAGGTCGCATTGGCACTGGAGCCAATGGGTATGAAGTATGACGAATGGGCTGGCGTCATCGGAATGCACGAGAAGAAGGAGCGTAGATCTTGAAAGCTTCAACTCCTCAGGGAGGTGCTTTTCCCACTCGTCCAGTCTCTTTTGCAAGATTTCAAGCTCGCTACGACTTTGCTCTGGGTTTTCTTTATCTCGTCTGACTCGTTTGGTATATCTAGACTACTGGTCAGAACTCTGCCGGGACAGGAAGATGATAACGGTAGAGGAATATATACCCTACCTCAGCACCTCATCCCTCAATGCCAGGAGCTTGAGGTAGTAGCCATAAACATTTGTGACACCAACTTCCTCTGGATACGCTGAGCTTATAAAACCAGCGCGGGAGGCCAGGCCTTTCTCGAAGCTGTAATCATCACATGGCAATCGTAGTTGCATACGATTCGTAGGACACACAGAGAGATCTTCGACACCCCCTGAGAAATAGCGGTCGATTGAGTAAATTTCCCAGACGATGCGCCTTCGAAGCTCGAGGGTCAAGGGCTGCGCCTCGCCCGTGTACTCATGATTGAGGCGCATTGTGAAGGCGAGCCGGGCGGCCATGGAGAGAAGATTCCAGGCTGAAGCCAAGTCACCGTCATTCCATCGAAACCGGATGACTAGTAGCAGCACCTGTAGCTGCGTAATCGAAAACTGGCTTGGGTTTAGGAGAACGGACTGCTGTGCTTGCTCGATCAAGTCTCTGGCAATCTTGTTCTGCTCTGGTTCTTGCGAGTTAATCATCATGCCAATCGCCACAAGTGCATGCAGCAGAGCTGGGTCAAGTCGTCCTTGGTTCCAGTCAGAAAGACTCAACGCCTTGTGAAGAAATTTACCAGTCCATTGGCTGCGACTGCTGAAATAGATATCGAGACAGGCTCGTACCCTCTGCTTATCCAGAGACTCTGGGCCCCATTGGCTCGTATGGCTTGCCACGGTGCCGTCGAATCCAGACGATGGAGTGGCTGTCATCATTGCATTATCTTGACCGATCGAGTTGATTCCAGTAGCACCGCTCAGATCCTGCCCAGGATTACTACAATCAAGACCTCGCGAGCTGCATCTTTCGCAGGGGCTTCGCCCAGAACATTTCGCTTTGACAGCTCGACACGCCTTGCACGCTCTCCGAGTTCGCTTCCTCTTGTTTCCTGACTTCGTGACATCCCATAATTCTAATGGTTCCGGGCTGAGACTCTCGGTACTCCTGGCGTACGGACACGACAAGCCGAGACGCACACACGGGCCGCATTGAGGGGAGACGCGGTTGCACTTCACTTTTCGTAGTCGACATTGTCCACAAGCGGCAGGCTGCCTGGGAGGTGATGTTGGATCATTTGGCAGGTTCGTATTACTGACTGATTCCTCTGCCACCGACATATTGACATGCTCGGCAGCTTCCAGCGTTGTTGAGGGCTCGTCGGCGGATGCGGGAGTTTTTGTCGGCAAGGGACCGATGGCGTGCTCAGGAATAGCGGTTGCGTATTATATTACCGGAACAAGCCGTCTAACTCCTCCAGACTCTATGGGTGCTTAATTAACCTTCCACTATACTAGGCCAACATCATGATTAACCGGGGGTGGATGAAATACGCCCAGGGAGGCATGAATGAGGGGTTCTAGTGAACAATTAGATGGAAACTAGCCCATCTTCACGATCTTATTATTAATACCTTCGGCTAAACGATTCTGATCAAGGTACACTGGGGCTTTCTACCAGCTACAGGCTGAATAAACGCAAGGTTCCTATTGGGCCCTTCTAAATGCTTCTCACAAGCTGTCTCCCTTGGAAACTTGGCTGTTTCGCCCTTGTTCAACATCGCCCTCCCTTTCAATCCCTTTACTGTAAGTGTGAGCGGTCTCTAGATTGGCCGGAACTTCAGTCTGCCCAAACTTGCGCAATGGCACGTCGTTGTTGAATAGCCAATCCACTTGCTCTAGCGTTTTACCCTTGCACTCGGGAATACACGTGTATGTGAAGATGAGTGCCAAAATTGCGATGGAGCCAAAAATGAAGCCAACCTTGCTTCCCAGGCCTGCCTTGTCGGGCCACACGAGGTAAGGAATGGAGAAATTAACCGCCCAGCTGCTCATGTATTAGACCTTGTTCAGAATATTACTAGCAAGGGCGAGGATAACTCACTTGAATACAACATTTACGGTGAATCCAACTCGAGAGTTGAGATCACGAAGTCGCAGTGATGAGACCTCGGTGGTCACCACATACGTGAGCGGGCCCCAACCTGTCGCGAAACCAATTGCAAAGACGGCAATCATTGAGATTATACCACGCATGTTGGCGGTTGGCACGGGGCTCTGGACGCCAAGTCCTCCCATGGTGAACAACGCGCCTGCCATGATGAGTGCCGATGCCATTAGTTGGACGCTTGATGGAAATTGTTAGCGGAGTAACTATAGGAAGAGAACAATTTGCAAAACAACTCACCGTCGTCCCATCTTATCAGTTGTGTAGAGTGAGATAAAGCAAATTGTTACGCCAATTCCAGAGGTGATCAAACTGAAGAGCCGAGGATTGATGATTCCGAGCGTTTTCACGTAAACCGCCCCATACTGTGACGAGAAGGCCTGACCAGTCGCTTGCTGGAAGAAGTTTACGCCTACCACAATGGCCGTGCGGATGAGGTTTTTCCCTTTGAATAGTTCAATGAACTTTCCCTGCTCTGGCTCGTTCTCAAGGGCATTTCGGAGCTCCGCGAATTCGGCATCGATCTGCTCTTCAGTGAAAGCCCCTTGTCGAAGTCTCTGAAGCATTTTGCGAGCTTCATCGGTGCGGTTCTTGCGAAGAAGCCATCTTGGGGACTCGGGCACGAAGAATATGGCGGCTGCAATGATTGTGGGAACAATGTAGAAGAGGCCGAGAGGAATCTGCCACGATCGATTGCTCTCGATGAACCCGGTGCCGTAGCAGACCGCGTTGATTACAAGGCCACCGGCCATGAGACTCATCTGATACGAACCGACAACGAAACCGCGGACAGGGGCCGGAACTGTCAACCAACTAGATTAGTCTCTGCAGCCTTAACCCCAACTGAACGAGATGAAATGAACATACCAATCTCAGACTGAAATGTGGGCACAACGGCAAGTTCGATACCAACATAAATGTAATTGAGAATCCGTGCTGCCATGATCTGCTCTCTCGATTTCGATGTGACTGCAATGGTCGCTGTGACTAGTGCATAGCAGCTCATACCAAACATGCACCATCGACGACCGAACATCGAAGAGATCTGACTTCCGATGATGACACCTGGGAGATATCAAAGTGAGCCTTTGAGTTAAAATTTGTCGGAGAGAGAGAGCCCTACCAGCGGCAAATCCAATGTAATTCAAACTGTTGAACAGGGCTAGCCAGTCAGATGGCAACTCGTACACGCCGGTCTTTGCGTTGCGCTCTCCAAACTGCTTTGCAAAGTAGTCCATGGACTGAGTCGTGGCAAAAGCCTGGTTGTCAAAGCCATAGTTGAACGTCGACACGGCTATAATGACAACAGAGAGCAGCAATGTGCCATTGAAATAGCGTGCCTTCTCGAAGCCAAATTTGGCCATGACTGCGGGCTAATGGGTGTCGATGGATAATAGATTGTTGATGAATTATCCCACATTCATTTTGGGGAGACTCAAACCCGGGCAATCATTCTTTATACATGATTCTTCGTGGCTTGATGACCGTGGCCTCGTCACCTTCGTCGGTCAGTAGCCGTAAAACTCGGAAGAGAAGTC